TTTACTTATTTGTGTGTGTGTGTGTGTGTGTGTGTGTGTGTATGTGTGGGGGGGTGCACTATGAATAGGTGTGTTCACCTGTACACCTGTACTTGCAGAGGATAGAGGTTGATATTGGGTGTCTTCCTCTATCACTCTACTTCTTTGCTGGAGACAGGGTCTCTCAGAGAACCTGGAACTCACAGTCTTGACTACACTGGCTAGCCAATAAGCCCAAGGGACTGTCCCATCTCCACAACTCCAAAGATGGGGTTACGGATGCACACTGCCATATCTACCTTTTATGTGGGTGCTGGGATCCCAAATCAGATCCTTGTGTTTTCACAGCAAGCACTCTACCCACTGAGCCACCTCACTGGCCCTACAAGAGCAATGAGTGTTTTGGACAGGAAGAGTTCACAGAAAAGGCAGGAAGATTACCTAAGATTAGATGGGGAAGATCTCTTTGAAAAGATTGAGACTTGGAGAAACTTCAGTAGCCCAGAAAAGAACGCCATATGAAGACCTGAAGGCCGAATACTAAAATGTAGAGTACAACAAGATGTATACAGCTGAGGTCAAGTTCATGCACAGCTGGTAAGAATTTGGGATTTGAGTCTAAAAGCAACAGCAATCTTCACTTACAGAACAACAGCATGGTAAAGGTGTGCAAACAGAAACAGTCAAAAAGCTAGGGAGCTAGGAAGAATCTGCACAAGAAAGGAGGGCATGTGGATGAGGATGGAGATGGTGGGGACAGACAAAAGAAACAGAACACATTAGGAAACCCTAAAATCATCTAGAATCTATGCACAGGATATGAGAAACGTGGGTAAGGAGGAACAGAGGATGTCCAAATATCTAGGGAAATAAAATTAATAGTGAGTAATACCAATAACCGAGGAGCAGGTTGGGCAAGGAGATTTTGTTTTTAGGATGCTGGGCCAGAAATACCTGTGAAGCATCCTAAGATAAGTACTTGCATTGGCTACTTTTCTGTTGCCATGATAAAACCCCGGGCCAATGTAACTTATGGAAGAAGAGTTAATCTGGGCTTATGGTTCCAGAGGTTGAGAGTTCCTAAGGAGAACAAAGACACGGTGGCAGAAGAAGGGAGCTGACTCACACCCTCACCCACTGCAGGAGGCAGAGACAGCAAACTAGGAATGGTGTGAGTCTTTCAAACCTCAAACCCCACCCCACTGATGTAGTCAGCAAGGCCACACCTCCCAAACGGCACCACCAACTGGGGATCAAGTGTCAAATGCCACAAGATTATGGGGGCATCCCATTCAAGCCAACACAGCACCTGAACATACACTGGGGTGTGGAGCTCAGAAGAGGTCTTTATAGAGACAAACAAAACCCTGGGTCTGGACGGCCAGAGTTGTAACAGAAGACAGATGAGCAGGTGGGATCATCACAGGAGGGCACGACATAAGAAGACAGCCTGGGGCAGAGAACTCTCCCCTCAGGCTTGAAAGAAGGGGTCACTAAGGACAAGAAGGGGAGTGGCAAGAAGGGGAGTGGCAAGCCGGGCGGTGGTGACACACGCCTTTAATCCCAGCACTCAGGAGGCAGAGCCAGGCCGATCTCTGTGAGTTCGAGGCCAGCCTGGGCTACCAAGTGAGCTCCAGGAAAGGTGCAAAGCTACGCAGAGAAACCCTGTCTCGAAAAACCAAAAAAAAAAAGAAGAAGAAGGGGAGTGGCAAAGAGAGAAAGGGAGCGAGGGAGAAGCAGGAGTCTGGAAGGCATAGACGAGAGGGAAACGTGTCTAGGCGGGGCACGTGAGACTGCAAGGCCAGCCAGTACAGATAAAAGGAGAACCGAGTCAGACCAAGTATGGGAGAAAAATAAACTGCAAGTGCTAGGTGGTGGCACATACTATAATCCCAGCACTTGGGAGGCTGAGGCAGGGAGATCCTAAGCCAGCCTGGAGTTGAGGATTGAGGGAGAAAGAAAAGAAGGGAAGAGGAGGAGGAGGAAGAAATAAAATGCATCTAAACAGGAAAGGAAGATGAAAACTATCTCTGTTTACGGATGACATGATCTTTTATATAGAACACCAGAATGTTACACCCAAACACAGAAAAAGTGTTAGAACCGTAAGACAACTTCAGCAAAGCTGTCAGACAGAAAAAGCATTAACAAAGCAAGCTGCACTGCCATACACAGATTGAACAATGCATAAAGGAAACCAAGAAATCAATCACCAAGAAGACCAAAAAGAATAACTACTTACAAATAAATTTAAGCAGGTAAGAGATGTGTTCACTAAAACACACAAAACAGACAGAAAGACATCACATGCTCAAGGATTGGAAGACAATGCTGTTAAAATGGCCACAACACACAGCAGTCTACCAATTTCATTCAATCCCTGTCAAAATCCCAAAGGCACTTTTTGCAGAAATAGGTAAAAGCCACCTCAGAATCAATATGAAATCTCAAATAGCCTGAATGGCCAAAATAATCTAGAAAAAGAACAAAGTTGGAAGCTTCTCACTTCGTAATTTCACAATTTCTTGCAAGGCTATAGTAATCAAAACGTGGTTTTGGCATACAGATAGTTACACAGGTACATGGAATAGAACAGAAAACCTAGAGATAAAGCTCCATTGTACATGGTCAAAATATCTTCAACAAAAGTCTGCAGACAAATTTCTAAAAGGACTTATTAAACAAAAAAAACATGAGCCAAATATAGGGGTGAAAGCCTTCAATCAGAGAAATAGGGAAAGCCACCAGCCAATCTTACCTCACCAACTCTGCAGCTTCCAAATGCACATTACTTCCTGTCTATCCACGCCTTTATTGCCTTGCTGTTCTGCCCTCTCATTGGCTATCTTAGCCCAGCTACCTCACTTCCTCTTCCTACACCGCTCTGTCACTGTCTGTCTGTCCAAACCTCCAGGCCTCTATGGTTGGTACTGGGATTGAAGGCATGTGTCACCATCCTTGGCTCTGTTCCCTAGTGTGGCCTTGAACACACAGAGATCCTGCCTGCTAAGTGATAGGATTATGGGCGGGTGCTGCCTGACTTCTTTGTTTACTTAAAATAGCTGGCCCTTTCCCCCTGATCTCCAGGCAAGCTTTATTTAGTAATGCACAAATAAAATATCACCACACTTCAGCACAAATAAAATAGCACCACATTTCCCCTTTTCTTGTCTAATAAAAATTTAAAAAAAATAAAAAATAAAGTTATAACTAATATAAGAAAAACTATATAATACGTGTTGCTCTGATTGGTTGATAAATAAAGCTATCTGGCCTATGGCAAGTCAGCTTAGAGGCAGGTGGGAAATTCAAAGAGAGAGAGGAAGAAGGTGGGGAGAGACACCAGCAAGCTGCCCAAGGAGCAACATGTAATAGGTCGCAGGTAAAGCCATGGAACATGTGTCAATACATAGATTAATAGTTATGGGCTAATTTAAGATACAAGAGCTCGCTATCAAAAGGCTTGAGCCATGGCCATGCAGTTATAATTAATATAAGCCTTTGTGTGTTTACTTGCGGGACGTGAGTGGGAGAGATTTGTCCCAACTACTGGCAGGTCGGGACACAGGAAACCTCTGGCTACAAAAGTCCCAAGACCACGCAACAGAGAATTCTACAAATGGTGCCAGCCCAGATACCCACATGCAAAACAGTGAAGCTATATCTTAGCATTATATCATATACAAAATTAAATATAACGCCCTAAATGTGACCTAAAACTATGAAGCTCCTAGAAGCAAACCTAGGGGAAAGCGTAATGCCATTGGATTTGGCAATAATTTCTTGGATGTGATAACTAAAAGCTCAGACAAGGACTGAGGAGATGGCTCAGTTGGTAATGTGCATTCCTGTAAGCATGAGGACCTAACTATGGAACTCTAGCACTCATGTGAAATGCCAGTGTGACATCTGTAATCCCAGACTTCAGGGAGTATCAGAGGACCTCTGAAGACAAGTGAGCTCTTCAGATCTTCACCTAGTGGGAACGGGGGAGACCCCCAATGAGCTGGGGGTCATTGTGTGCCTTACAGTGTCCTGCAAAGGCAGTACAGGCTCCCGAGGGGCCAGGTTAGAAACGAGAGGAAAGGTCTGTTAACTCTTTTCTTACCTTACTTCTTACCTTTTATTACCTACTGTGGACAGTAGCTAACAGAATTTGGTGCTTAGCTCTGAGAATACTTGCAAGGGAAGAACCACTCAGCTGCAAAATATCATACCACACACTACAGTGTCAAGGTTTTTGCCAGCAGTAAACTGAGAACATTTATAGAAGTATCAAGTGTGGATCTCTTTTCCAATATAATTCCTAACCCTTCCCTGTTTAGCAAAGCAATATCAAATATATCTGGATTTCTGTGCTGGTACACATAAGACGTAGCACTTGGTCACTTAAAGACTACAATTATATTGGCTGTCTAAAAAAACTGTTTATGTAAATCTTACCACCTAAAGCCAGAACAGAAGATGTGTTACTTTCTTCTCCTGCTACATCTGAAGGCTGATATAACACATGATTATACTGAATTCCTTATTTAAACACAAAGGGTGCTAAGTTGTGATCTCCTTTAAACTAACCCAGGCTAATGAAATAGATGAAGATGGTCACAGGGGATGGAGAAAGCAGAGCCAATAAATATCCAGCAACCAAGGGGTGACAGATAGAGACCATCGTAGAGAAAAACTGGACAATCATCCCAAGAAGATACACAAGTTTCAATTTCAATTTACTACTTACTTGGAAGAGGACTTTCTTCTGTCTAGAATGGGTCCTGATCACTTCAATAACAAATAAAGTGAGTAAAAACTGCTTTCTTTCAAACCTCACTAACCACATGCATTGATGTGTAAGTCGTATAGTTAATTATATAGGTCAGGTTACAAGAAGTGTTTGTCTTTTTTATTTGAATAACTTTGTTTAACTACCATATTTTATAGAGACATGCAGCTGAACAAAATTTCAGCCAGGCCCTTTGGATGGTTTTTGGTGGGATGGAGATGGAGGGGGGGGTGTCAGTACTTACCAGTGCTTCCCATAGAGCCAGTGACCTCCCCACGTCAGCAAGCAGAGCCCAGCTGTAGTTTTCTTCCAGTGATTTCGAAGTGTTTTAAAGAATGCAGTCATCTTCGCCTACAGATTTGATAGGCAGGAAAAGAAAAAAAAATTACCCAAGATAATCATGGAGCATCCTATTATTCATTCCTCTAAGGTCTCCCCCTCCCGCCTGTCTTCCTTTTCTTGTTTTCTCTCCGCCACTTCTGCTGTGGTTCTTCTCCCTTTAACTTCCCTTGGTTAAAACCCCTCCCCTAGGAAGAAACATCCACACTGCAGACATCAATGAAGCCATCCAGGCTAGTACAGAAAAAGTCCCAAAGGCCCATGTAAGTTTTGACCTCCCTCCATCTGGCCCTCAATACTTACTCATTCAAGAGGTCTTTAACAGATAACACCTGCTCTGCATTAATACACAGGGCAAGGAAGAGTTAAGTCCCACTCTCACATGCTCATAATAGTTAAATCCCTAAGTGCAATATAACCACACGAGCACAGTCACAACACAGTAAGATAAATGTTCGGGGATGAGGACCGGAGTCCACAAAAATGGGCCTACCTGGGATGGACCTGAAGGGGCCAAACAGAGCCCTACAGATTAGGAGTCACAAAGGGAAGGTGTTAGGAATACGCTATGGCTTGAACATCTGTGCTTCCAAACTTTTAAGTGGCTGTCCTAATTCTAACTGAAATGGTATTAGGTAGAAATAATGGCGCAAGAAGGATGCTGTCCTCATGAATAGGATCAGCAACTCTCCATGATGAGACACCAGCCAGATGCCACATCCCATCCACCCCCATCTGAAGACACAGCAACAAGAGAGCCATTTGTAAACAAACTAAGAAGGGTGTGTCACACCCAGTACAACCATCTTGGGTTCATACTTCCAGTTTGCATATGGTGAGAAATAAATTTTTGTTATTTAAGCCACCCAGTTATGGCAACCTAAACAAACAAGTATACAAAGGTTATATGTGTGTGTGTGTGTGCGTGTGTGTATACATATATATACAAATATATATGTGTATATATATACATATATATGTATATATGTGTGTGTGTATAAAGGCTACATACAAAATATATACATACACACACATATATACCAAATTATGTTCTGAAAAACATAAGAAGGTAGTAGACTGAAGAAGTAATTTCTCTTCTCACCCATAAATAAGACCAAGACTCCTGAAACAAAACATATTAACAAACAACAAAAAGAAAGGATATAAATCTATTTAATGTTTTACTTTACACTGAACCTTCAGAAATAAACCTCTGTATATGTTAAATTTGATGAAGAGTAGAAAGTTGTACAGAAATATGATTGAATAAGGTGTCATGACTTAAAGACAATAACCAACAAGGTCTGTTTGTTCAGATCCTTCTGGGTCCCTTCATCTTAAGAGATAAAAGTAGTCACTTCCTGCACACATAAGACAGGCACCTCTAACATGAGGGCCTTATACAGGAAGTCTGCTTCAGGTTAGAACAGTGACAACTTCCTGCTTACTGCTTCCTCAACTGCCAATGGACCACTTTGGGGATTAACATGCCCTACGCACCATCAAGAGAGTATTAAGTACAGGATAGCTTCTAGAACACTGGCTCTCAGCCTTTAGGGTCCTTATTAAACCTTACTAGAATGCACAAAATTTGCTGGAAATGTGTATTCTTGGTTATTACCTCCCTTCCCCCAAAGCTTCCTTTGTTCCAGAACTGAGTAATCATCTCACTTTTAGTTAGTTAGTTAGCAGTTACTACCATAATTGTAATGCAGGTGATAAAAACACCAGACTCTGAGAAACAGTAGTTTACAGATAAAAGATGGGGGTGGCAGGAAGATCTGAAAAGACTTTGAGTCCGCACTAAGGGCTTTGGATATTATGTTGAAGACAATGGGGGAAAAAACTTGAGATTTTTAGCAGATAAACAACATAAATCATATTTGAGCAGCAGAATATAAAACAGACTGCTAGAACCTGAAAGTAAAGCTGAGAAGAGTCATGGGGGGAGGAGGGCTGCCTAATTTCTAGGCAACTAAAGGGAGGAACAAGAGTCAACAAAGAATGTGGAGGTCTTGGTCTGGCAGTGCTTGGTGACCAGCTGACTGCAGGAAGTGAGAGGTGTGTGTGTGTGTGTGTGTGTGTGTGTGTGTGTGTGTGTGTGTGTGTGTGTGTGTGTGTTTGGGGAACAGGTCGGAATTTGATCTCAAGCCTTTGATTGATATTGCAGGTTTGTGGGAAAACAGTGTGCAGCTAAGGAGACTACAGCCTGTTACACCCGCCAGGCACACTCAAGTGGAGCCCAAACAGATGTCTGGACTTAGCTGTTTGGAAATAGGAAAAACTGGACACAAGCTACAGAACTGGGACTCATGCTTGTGGAGGCAAAGTATGAGGGTTGCTAAAACTATCCAAGTGGAGGGCAGCATGGAAGGAAGGAACACTGGAAGTCGAGAGCACTCTGACTGGACCGTCTTTTTAGACGCCACCCCTACCCCATGCAACTCCCTTTTTGTCATAAATGATTCATATATTATTAAAAGACGGGGAAATACGCAGGCGGCCTGGTGTGCAAAGAGGACTGGCCGAGGTGCCCGACGGCCTGGTGTGCAAAGAGGACTGGCCGAGGTGCCCGACGGCCTGGTGTGCAAAGAGGACTGGCCGAGGTGCCCGAACCAAATCCTTCCTTTGCCACAGGTAGTGAGACCCTGGGTAAGTCGATTAACTTCTTCACTGGTAAAATGAAGAAACGCCATCTGCCCTGGTTACTAAATTTGGCTGTGAAGATCAGCTGTGATGGGGTTGTGAATAAAATCTGTAAATTTTTCCGTATTTAAGTTGTCTTTACAAATATGTATTACATTAGCAGTATATATTCCCTTCTCAGTAGCCAGAATTTTCATTCTCATTAACGTCAATTTAAAAAAAAAAAATCTCAAGTTTAAATCAGCACATCTTTGCCTTCAAAGCTGGTTTATCCTCAACCCCATGAGCTCCCAAATTCTAACTGCAGCCCCTCTCCTGACAAGGAAGACGAGGATTTTCTCACTAAAGCAGAGCTCCTTGGGGCAGGTTCTCGACATCTCCATCAGCAGAACCCAGTAAATGGAATGAATGAACCGAACCACCCATCAAACACTATCGATTCCGTTTTTGTTTCGGGGTACCCACAGTCCAAGTGAGGGGAGGGCGTGACTGACGAGGCCCAGAGATTAGGGACAGCTCTGGGGCTCGAACCAGCACACCTGAGTCGCAGGGACCACGGGCGCGCGCGCCACGCCGGACCGGCCCAGTCCCCTCCTCCCGCCGCCCCGCAGCCAGCAACTGCACGGCCGATCCCCGGACGCCAGGCCGGTTCCCGGGACGCCCTGCTCAGCACAGCAACCCGCCGCTGCGCCCCACACCCGGGCCACACACACCAGCGGCCCACGCTCGCTCCCCGAACTCACCGCTGCCCGCCGCTCGGCGCCTGGCCTTTCCTGTGTGCTCTCGCGAAACTCTTCCTCCCTTCAGGGGGAAACCGCTACCGCTGCCCTCGGGTTCCGACGCGGGGCTGCGCCCGCCGGGCGGGGCCGAGCCCTCCGGTGACCTGGGAGCAGCCGCCGCCCTCAGGTTCTTCTCTTTCTCTCCCTTACTCACTCATTCAGTCTCGCAGCCAGCCAGCCATCTATCGCCAGCCCTTCGTCTCTGGAAAGTGCACAGTAAATAATACGAACACTTTTACGATTTGGAGCTAAATCAGAAAGTAATTAAAGGAGTAAGGCCATTTTAGAGAGTGGTAAATGAAACAAAGAAAAGCAAACCGGTTGCTAGGGAGTGTGGCGCCTGGGGGTACTGTGTTACATTAAACAGCGGGAGTTTGAGCTCCCCGAAAGCGGGGAGAAGAGGATCAGGTCAGGATGCATAGAAGAAAGAGCAGGGTAGAGGAGAATCAGCCACAAAATCTGAGACACACTAGGCCACTGTGAGGTAGGCAGAGGGAAGGGAGCTAGAGAGTGTGAAGGGGGCCCCACAATAGCTGGACCTCACAGCAGCCATAACAGGCTGAGGGGCCTAGACACAGCTTCTGAGACAGGCTTACTGGCAGGCAACACCCAGATCCAGGAAAAGCCATAAGCTGATACTACCCAGGGGTCCACCCAGTAATGAGGAAATGCCTAACATTCCAACCATTAGGTGGCCAGATGTCCTTGAGCCTGGCACACACCTATTTTTGTTTTACAGATACCCCTGGACAACTGTCAGCCAATCAGGGTCCTGAACCCTGGAAACCTCCTCACCCCAACTTCTTGCTATGATAAAAATCCCACCCTGCCTGGGCTCAGGGCACCCTGCTCACCCTCTGCGTCGGACAGACAGAGGGACCAAGCTCCAGAGCTTGAAATAAAGGCTCTTTGCTTTTACATGCGGGATTCGGTCTCCGTGGTGGTCTTTTGGGGGTCCCCGCGATCTGGGCATAACTGGGGGGAGAGAAATGAAGCAGGAGAAGTGGGCAGGAGATGGCAGAGCTAGGGAGGAGAGGCCACGGAGGTGTGGAGCACCAGAAAATGTGTCTCCTCAAAATATAAAGACGGCTGAGCTGAAGATGAGGGTCAGACGCAGGGGAGCTTCCTGCTTTCCCTCTATTTGCCTAAGACCAAGGCAGTTTACAAAGACTTTGTATCTTGCCACCACTCACTACCAGGGAGATGTCAACAAAACAGTACAGGTTTTGCTACAAAGAGAAGTTGTGGAAGTCTGTCTTGAGGGCAAGGCATGGCCCTTGCTGTCTTGAAATGGGAACAGTTGTGTTGACTCACCCAAGATCATCACGAGATCGGACACAGTCACATTTGATCCCTAGTGGTCCACCTCTTCCACAGGATATACAAGCAAGTAAAGCGTGCTGGGGCTGGAGGGTCTGAGGATTGTTGGGGGGGGGGGGGACAATTTCTTGTGGCTTCCGGTATATTGCTCATGTTCCTGTAGGTAATCCCTCACCCCAATCAAATTCATTGATTCACAAATCACAAAAAGATTTCAGTGGAATCATTTCTTTGGGGGCCTGAACTTGTCACCCTATCTGGAGAGAACAGGCCTTCATTTGCTGATGTTTCCTTAGGGAAAGTCAAGAAGAAGTGAAATTATTCGGAGCCAAATATGAATGGTCATAGTTTTGGGACACAGATTCAAGTTGCCCTGAATGACACATTCCACCATGGAAGAGGTTCGTTGAACATTTATAATCACAGAATAAAATAAAGTCATAATTTATTTTAGGATGTCAGGTTGGCAGCTTACAGCAAAGCAGAGAAATCTCTTCCATGGGTTTCAGATGCTGTGTGACGACCTTCCTAGATTTGGATGGGCAGAAGCTTACAGTTGTATCATTCCTAATGTTTTACCTAGTAGTCATAAAGATGGGTTAGGTAGAGAGTTTGGTGGCAAATGGCTATTAAAGGTAAGCTAGAATGATTTTGGCTATCTATCTGTGACATTCCATCTCTACGTTGTGAAGTTCTCATCGGTCTGCAGACCCTTGAACACCAATATCTTTTTTCTCAGAACTTTAGTCCACAGACAACAAAGGCTGACCACTGAGGACAGCTTTAGGTCCTCATCAGCATTAGGGGGATTGTTTAATGAACCAGTCTTTATCTGCCATGTATTCACCTTCCTCTAAACTGCTGCCAATAAAAAAAAAATCAATCCCGTCCCCACCCCACCCAACCCTACCCCCACCCACCCCCTGTGCATGCACGCTTTTCAGTCACCTCTCTAAATGTTATTGTTCTTTGTTGCAAGTGCTATTCAAGCCAGAGTCCTAAGCCACTGCTTTGAGCTTTCTCCTGGTGCTCAAATGTTAATAATTATGCTTGTTTCTCATTGTTAATCTGCTTTTTTCTTTCTTCCTTCTGTCCTTTTTCTTTCTTTCCTTTTTTTTTTTTTTTTTTTTTTTTTTTCCCTTTTTTTTTTTTTTTTTTTTTCTTTTTTTTTTTTTTTTTTTTTTTTTTTAAATTTAAACCGGAATCTCCCTCAAGGACAGAGAAATGATATTCCTTTCCCTGCAGAGGAACACACTTTGGACATGCCATTCAGTGGAATAAATTCCATCAGCAGAGCTGTGGGATCTGGTTTACATCTTCCACATGTCTCTGGTCACAGTGCAGTGAGTAGATGAACAGAGTGTTGACACTGACTTCCAGACTGTTTAAATTCTGTACCAACAACCCCCGTCCGTGTTGGTGTGGGGATCGAGCCAAGCAGCACCGCTTTCTTCTCTCCTTCCATCGCTCTGTCATCCCCCTTCTCTTTAGAGGTGTATAATGGTCCTCATGGAGAGCTCTGAGGCTGGGCTCATCTTCAGTGCCCTTCAAAGTGCCCGCCCCCTCAGGGCTTGCAATTACTCTCCCAGGTCCTGTTTCATTCTTCTATAACTTAAGACTCCATGTGCATGCTTGAAAGACATGAAAACATCCAAGGAGGCTAAGTGTTGTTGTTGTTGTTGTTATTTAACTCTTTGTTCTTTGACTCTTTGAGGGCCCCCCCCCCTCCCCGCCACTCAGCTCCCAAATAAATACACACGGAGGCTTATTCTTTCTTAGGAATGCCTGGCTTTAGCTTAGCTAGTTTCTAGCCAGCTTTCCATAACTTAAATCATCCCATCTTCCTTTTGCCTCTGGGCTTTTCCTTTTCTTACTTCTGTATATTTTACTTTCACTCTTACTCTATGGCTGACTATGTGGCTGGGTGGCTGGCCCCTAGCATCCTCCTCTCCTTATTCTTTTTCTCCTTCTATTTATTCTCTCTGCCTATCCTTTCTCCTGCCTTGCTGTTGGCTGTCCAGCTCTTTATTAGACAAATCAGATATTTTAGACAGGCACAGTAACACAGCTTCACAGAACTAAACAAATGCAACATAAAAGAATGCAACACATCTTTGCATCATTAAATAAATGTTCTCCAGCATAAACTAATGTAGCACATCTTAAAATAATATTCTACAATAGCTAAGTACAGTAAAGCATATTCCATGTCCTAACTCTCACTGGGACCATATGAACTTCTTACCACTCTCTCCACTTGTAAACTAGAAGATGAAGGAACACTGTATTTTTAAAGAATCCCTTAGACTGAGGGAGTCAGTGAATTACTTTCAGAATTTCTTTCCTGACCATCTAAAATGTTTATATTTGGAAATGGGTTTGTGCAACTGCTTCACTGCAGGCTAGAAGAACCTGAGATCTGTAGGATGGTCCACATGCTTTAGGTATTGGGGGAGGAGTTCCTGAAAATGGGAACAGGTGAACTTTGATACTTTTCCAATCAGAAAATGATACTTTAAAAAGCCTTAAAAATAATTGCATGCGCATGTGGTGTGTGTGTGTGTGTGTGTGTGTGTATCTTTGTGTGCTTATGTCTGTGGGTGTGTCCTTTTAGGGCTTATGTCTTTTTTTGTTGTTTTTTGGAACATATTCACCATGTTTTTTTTATTTGAACAACTCTGATACATTTGCAATAATCAAGGAAAGTTGAAAGTCAATTGCATGCCTGTAATCCCGCATTCAAGAAGCAAGCCTGGTTACATAGTAAGATCCAGTCTCAAACAATTAAAAAATGAAATTCATAAAAAGGAAAGAAAACTTGAAGTTGAATATTAAATATATTAAGGAACTGTTCATTTTACGGACCTGATGTTATTATTGTCTTGCTTCCTTTAAATTTTAGGGCTTATGTCTTGCTTTGGGTCTTAGACGTGAAGGGAGCACTACACTCATTTCTGGGTTCAGGACCTCTGAAGACCAGAATCCAAAATTGCTGCCACATGGCCACCCCATGTGAGTGTGAACCTGACCTCATGGCCGTTCCATGTGAATGTGAATTTGACCTCATAGAATATTCTAATACTCTGAAGTTTGCCCATGGTTCTCTCCAAGAATCAGAAGGAATGTAATCCTGCAGACCCATTTTAGATTTCCGCTTTCCAAAACTGTGTTTTAAATACTGAGTCCAGGGCAATTTGTCAAGCAGACACAAGAGATTAGCATGCACTGTCTTGGAATACACTTTCTAGAGAATCCAAACTGGGCCAGGTTGATATTGCACTTTCAGTACATTAGTATTGTAGTTAATTATTCATATTCTGTGTTTGGTTTGTGTAAAGCCATTTGTGAGCTCCTGCACACATCCTCACTGCAAAGCTGTAATGTGTCCATGCCTCTTCTCTATTCATCTCCTATGGATTGAGTGTCCTCTGCAAACTCATGTTAAGGTTTAGTTGGCGTTTTACTACCAGGTTGCAACAGTGAGAAGAGATGACACCTTTAATGAGGTAAGTAGAATGAGAACTCTGTCCTCCTCAATGGAGTGATGTCATTATCAAGGAGCAGGTACCTCAGAATTCTGTCCTCATCAATGGAATGATGTCATTATCAAGGAGCAAGTGCCTGAGAATTCTGTTCTCATCAATGGAGTGATGTCATTATCAAGGAGCAGGTGCCTGCGGGAAAGGCATGAGTTAGCCTCATTTTTCTTCTCATGAGTATTTGCCTATCCTACTACCCAAAGACTCATCAGCTGAACTGCCCAGCTTCCAGAACCATGGTGTAAGTAAATAACTTTTTTT